CACAATCTTTTGGCAACTTTTTATATGATTTATTGGACTAACCTATTGATCCAGTGCCTAGTGCCAGTTCCTGTTTTCTGCATGTTTTTTGTATCGCGGAGTATCGATATCAAATGAAGTCCAAATGCAATAAAATTTCACGAAGAATTATTTTGGAATATATGTGATTTTTTAGAGTTGGAATCACCGCAAATAGAGGACCACGCATCCCACAAGACACCAGGGCGCGCCAGAGGCCCCTGGCGCACGGTGGTGGGTTGTGCCCACCTCGTACGTCGGCTGGAGCTCTACTTCGGGTGCAAGGAAGCTTATATCCAGAAAAAAATCGTGTTAAAATCTCAGCGCAATCGGAGTTACGGATCTCCAGGAATATAAGAAACGGTTTTCAGCCAGATCTGGGGAACGCGAAACAGAAGAGAACAGAGAGGGAGATCCAATCTCGGAAGGGCTCCCGCCCCTCCGCCGCCATGGAGACCAAGGACCAGAGGGGGAACCCTTCTCCCACCTAGGGAGGAGGCCAAGGAAGAAGAAGAAGGAGGGGGGCTCTCTCCCCCTCGCTTCCGGTGGTGCCGGAGTGCCACCGGGGCAACAATCGGGACGGCGATCTACATCAACAATCTTGCTACCATCAACACCAACTCTCTTCCCCTCTATGAAGCGGTGTAACACCTCTTCCCCCCGCTGTAATCTCTACCTAAACATGGTGCTCAACTCCATATATTATTTCCCAATGATCTATGGTTACCCTATGATGTTTGAGTAGATTCGTTTTGTCCTGTGGGTTAATCGTGATCTTGGTTGGTATGATTGTATATTTTATTTACGGTGCTGTCCTACGGTGCCCTCCGTTCTCGCGCAAACGTGAGGGGCCCTTGTTGTAGGATGTTGCAATATGTTCATGATTTGCTTACGGTGGGTTGCGAGAGTGACAGAAACTTAAACCCGAGTAGGTGGGTTATGGCGTATGGGAGTAAAGAGGACTTGATACTTAATGCTATGGTTGGGTTTCACGACCTTAATGGTCTTTAGTAGTTGCGGATGCTTGCTAGAGTTCCAACCATAAGTGCAGATGATCCAAGTAGCGAAAGTATGTTAGCTCATGCCTCTCCCTCATATAAAATTACAAGAATGATTACCGGTACTTGTTATCGATTGCCTAGGGGCAAATAACTTTCTTGTTGTCACAAACCCTTTTACTAAACACCTAACTTTTATTATCTTGCAAAGTACTTCTAGTTTTATTCTTGCAAAGTAGTTCTAGCATCACACCTACAAAATAGTTTCATACTTGTTTCCGATAAAGCAAACGTCAAGTGTGCGTAGAGTTGTATCGGTGGTCGATAGAACTTGAGGGAATATTTTTTCTGCCTTTAGCTCTTCGTTGGGTTCGACACTCTTATTTATCAAAAAAATCTACAAACGATCCCCTATACTTGTGGGTTATCAGCAGGCTCAGAATCCAGGCGTGCGGTACGCCAGCGAGGGTCATGGTGAACCAGTTTGCCATGACCTTGTCGTCGCCGCCTTCCACCCAGACGGCCTCCTCATACGCCTGGAGGAAGCCTGCCGGGTCCGCTGCACCGTCGTACCATGGCGGAAGGTCTGGCCTAAACTTGGGTGGCAACCGCACTCGTCGCAAAGTAGGGGTGAAGGCTCGAAGGCCCTCAGCGCCACCGCGCGCGGCGGTCGATCCAGCCGGAGGGGCGACGCCTGCCATGAGAGCCGAACGAAGAGACGAAGCAAGCGGGGAGACGGAGCAAATGGAGAGGCGGAGCTTCGACACATCCCTACGGTCGGTGCCAAATGTCGGATTCGGGCCGCAGACCCTTGAGAGGTTCGAACACTGGGGTGCGTGCGAAGAACTCTCCCATCCCAGTCTGCCCGCTCGATGATTCCACGGCCTAGCTTGACGAACCCAAGGGACAAGAGACACAACGGTTTATCCTGGTTCGGGCCACCTTGCAGTGTAATACCCTACTTCATCTTTGTGGTGGATTGCCTCGAGGGGCTGAGGATGAACTAGTACAGTGGTGGAACAGCCTCAGGAGGTGAGGTGTTTTTGAGCTCGATGAGCTAGTAGATGAGAGGATGGTCTCAATCCCCCTCTCTATGGTGGAGGCTAAGTCCTATTTATAGTGGCCTTGGTCCTCTTTCCAAATGTAGGCGGGAAGGGATCCCACAACGGCCAAATTTGAAGGGGGACAACTAGTACAAACTATCCTGACAAAAGTAGTCTTCGCCTGCAAAAGGCTCTGGTGGTGACGCTGCGGTGGGCTCTGCGATGACCTCCGTCCTGCCGTCCTGGCGGTCTTGGTCTTGTTGCACCGATATGGAAACCTTTGCTTGATTCCTCAGGACTCCACGCCTGCGCTTTCCTCCTTAGCGCCAAAGAGGAAACTGGTACACTGCGCCCACTGGCGCCCGCCTGGCCTTGATCGTGATGGCTCACGTCACATGAACCTCGCGAGGTGCACCTTGCCT